GTTGTAAGTCCGCAGACATTCCGCTGTGCCACTGGGGGACAAAGTCGTAGAATAACATCATAAGTTTACTTATTGATAGTGTTAAGTACGGTAAAGTTATTTATCCCTAACTAAAGCAAAAAAAAACAAACAAAAAACAAAGCCGTGTACATGTTATAGTATTAATTTATCGAATATAGGCCGTACTTAATAACGGCTTAACTAATGTTAGGCCCAAGGCAATCCTGTATTTAAAGCAGTAATGTTACAATAAACATACTAATTTGACCGTAAATGTTTCGTGGGTCTCTGCTAGTATTGATTGTTATTATGCCGTTCTATCATTACAATAATTGTTACAGCCGTTACTTTTTCTTGTTGAAACAGTCTATATGTTTCAATATGCCGATTTCGAAGGCACGTGTCCGTGAACTGAGAGTGAAAGTGTTTTGCTTTTCTATTAGTGTTTAATAAAGTGTTTAATAATCAACGTTTTAGTTTACATTTCTATCTGGTCATATCACAACAATAACATTTTACAATATCGGGCCACTATGTACATCCAGTGTTAAAGATTTTGTTTCTGTACTAAATACAACATTTCATAATGAATCCCAGAATACAATTATTTTTATCTTTACAAAATTACTAATAATGCTTGGAGACGGCTTGAATGAGCAATGAAGAAAAAACTTTAACATAAGTTTAACATAACATCAGGTGATGATGACAGAACCATGTCGAAACGTTGTACATTTGCTGTTATGTTAAACTTATATTAAAGTTTCTTCATTACCCATTCAAGCCGTCTCCAAGCATTATTAGTCTCAAAGTGGGTTACTCGTCATCGAATTAATATTAAAATTATTAGCAGTTCTATTTAAGCAAATATTAAGACATATACATCAAATACGTACCATGGCGCCATCTATTAAACAGTTGACTTTTTTGTTCATTACTTTCAGACTCATAAAATACATTCATTTGCAAATTAATATAAAGAAAGATGAGAACAGATGAGAAAAAAAAACCGCAATTAGAAGACGGATAAAGATAACAAAGTATAACACATGTGATATGTTATATTGATATATTGTTATATTGAAAACAAAGTATAACACATGTGATAAGTTATATTGATATATTGTTATATTGAAAACAAAGTATAACACATGTGATATGTTATATTGATATATTGTTATATTGTAATACTAGCTGGAGTACCCGTCCCCTGAACGGAAGGTATGTAAATTCATGATTAACGAAAGGTTATCTTAGGACATAAAAGGCTGCTACCCTTATATGTAATTGTAAAAACAAGCCCATAAAAACTGCAAAACGCAAAATATGAAATCGAAAATTTGCATGTACCTCCACATGGGCCTGGACGCCCAACAAACCTTCACACCAAATTTGGTGAAGATTCATCAACAGGGGGTGAATTAGTGGTAAAAAACGCCCATAAGACCGCAAAACATAAAATGCAAAACTGAAAATTTGTATGTACCGCCGCATGGACCTAATGAACCTCCATACGAATTTTGATGAAGATCCACCCACACCATGCGAAATAGTTACATGGACATACAACAGACAGGACAGTGCTATTACATTTATATAGATATGTCGCCATAAAATAGATTTGATAGGTAAAACAAAGTAATAGTAAGATAGATAAATGTAAAGACAGAGAAAGATAGATAAGCAAACTGATATAGAACTAGACTTACGGAATCTATAGTTTCCCAAGCATTTTGGTCTATGGGTGCCCCAGGAACATTTGCTTCTTTGAATGCTTCCATCCACTCTTTAAATGCAATGGGATCTGAGCATATAAATTCCAGTTGTCTGGTATTTTGAAATACATGCCTAAATTAAAAACAACAACAAAAATCTTACACATTTAACAACAGAAATTACTTGTAAAATGCAAGCGTATATTGGTTTAGTGAAACATCTTGGATAAACTGTCTTATTGATAAAAATAATGTGAAAATACCTTTCATACTTTCCACGTTACAATTTTTAAATGAAGGAAGAAAGTATTATTCGACTTAACAAAATCACGCTGAATCAAATTTTTTAAAGTTAACTTTAAAATCTTAATTGTTTACTAATTAACTATACACTAAACCAGTTTAAACATATTTACGTTTTTCACCTAAGGCTATAAAAAAGGCTTCGAGCATATAGTTCTACGTAATTTTGAATTGATATACTAAGGCGAAGGCAGCTAATCTTAAGAACCCATCGCCAACTCTTATGGTACTATAGTTTAATTGAATAATTTGACCGTACCCTTATAGCTACCTCAAGACCCCTAAATGCTTAGCGCGTTTTAAGAGAACGGGCCACGAAACGCGAAGTATTGCATTCAAATTTTACACATTACCCGTTATGCCATGCCTGCCCCTATATTTGTAATACATTTTAAACATTGGTGAACAGAAATTGTGATTCATGTTTGCAAAAATTTTATAAACATATATAGAATACAATACATTTGAAGTCACTTCAGTGAAATGTATAATATAATAGAAAAAAAAAGGTGTCGTACGAATTCAACTTTATTCGAAGTTTCTATTAATAACAGCTGTTTTTTAATAGGTTTCACTATTCAGGTATATCTGGGGAAAGGCGAAATTAAAAGCTATTAAAATAAAGCATAGAAATAAATAGTTAAATAATCCATAGATAAAAATCAAATCAAAATTTTAACACTATAGCCTGTTAATTTTGTGTCTTTCCGAAGGTTTACAGTTTCCTTTCCAGCTCGCCCATTCCGGGTATTATCCGTACAAAATGTGCGACATAAAATTTTCAAAAATTATTTGTGATGCATTTCTACAAGTTTCTTCCAAAAATAAAACTATAATTTAAATGTTGATATTTTAAATTTTCATTTGATATAAGGATTATTAAATTTCTTTAAGATAAAATAATAAAAAATATCGAATCTTTAGCCCTAATTGTCGATTTTTAGCCTCCTGTTGGAACTTACAAGTAGTAGAGGTGTCACAATACTCCGATATTACGCGCCCGCCATCCTAAATCGAGGATGAGATTTTTAACGCATACAAAAAACAATGGCATGAAATTACTGTTGTGTTCCGTTATGTTATGTGCACTAATGATGCATAATACAACATATCTCTCTCGTTCCGCAGCTTTCCTACAGACGCTAACAGAAGGAAACAATGACTTGTAAACATCCAACGCGATAATATACTTCTGTTTTCTGTAAATAATGCAAAACTAAAATGCATATTTACATAGGCCTAGCCTAATACTAATATTAGTAGTACTAATAGGGCCTGGACCTATGAAACCTTGTCCTATGCCTATAAAAATTATAGTGCTATACAGGCCTTTGTATTCAATAGTCCTAGCTAATGTGTATAATATCTGCATTTAAAGATCTAATATTATATTGAATAAAGCTCAAATTTTCCCGTTAACACAATAACCGAGGCCTATTAGGTACATATAAGTTATAAAAAAATATATTATAGTTATATTGGCATATAAGAGCGTCGCTGAATAGTAATGAAGTTTGAGGCACAGAAAGAAATCGGTTCCAGTTTTTGCCGACTAGGATTGTTTCATTGTAGTCCATGTTCAAGTAACAGGCATTTACTCTCAACATAAAAGACGTTTGTAAAACTTTCAAAGTAACAACAGTGCTCCAAATGATAATAAACCCTTTGTGAACCGCTTTAAGGCTTAACTTGATAATAAAAATGAGTATTTGTTGTTTTTAAGAGATTAAAATATTCAGTGTCGTTCCCATCCTCCTATCAATGCATAGATTTAAAAGTGAGTACACGTGAACCCCCGAGCATCTAGTTCTGTATATTTAAAGTACTATGATGTTTTATTCGTCAAATTATGTACACACAATACTAAATAATTAATAATCAGTGTCGAACTAAAGATTACAAACACTATAACGAATCTAGGACTTTCCAGACATGCAGTTTAGACCTATGTCTATGACACAAAGTGTAACAAATGACCTATCTTCAATATCATGGAATAAATTATAGCCTTTAGTGAGGTATTTTTGTAGATACTTTTGATAGTCTCTGAACAATTGAACGAAATGATTTGTCTATCCAGGATTACTTAGGCCTTTGTTTGCAGTCGCCATTGTTTGTTTACGATAGGTTAAGAGCCTCTTTATAATTTTTTTTAGGCTATGTACGAGATAAGATCAGTTTATATTCAAATAATCGTTTTTCAGTATTGGATCCGTAATTTCTTTAAGATATTGTTCGATATACTGTATATTAAATTCGCAGTTAAACAATGGGGTAATAACAAGCGAAATAATATCTTATGTTATGTTTACCTTTTATTTATAGTTTGATTTTATTGTTATTTACAATTTATTTGATCGATAAATTATTTATTTAAGTTATACTGATAACTGTTAATTTCCTTCTCCCAAAGTATACCTGAAGACTTTTAAATGAGCGCAAGCGACAGTTAAGACACATAAAAAATGGCCAAAAACAAAAGGAATGTTTAGGGGTTGCGCCCCCTAAACTCTCTCAGTTATAGTAGGAAATATGTTGTCATTGTGTGCCTAACCTGTGATAAACATATTTCTAAAGGCATGCCAATTTAGTTTAAGTACAAGAAGGTAGTATATTTGTCTTATATCTTGTAAATACAAAAAGTAGGGCAGGTCAGCGTTTAACGACAAGACAATGATATCTTTCAGGACGAGTGGAATCAGACCTTTGTTGATTCCCCAGCAATCTAAACATTGTTTTATACTTACACGCCGTCTGAGCGAAGCAATACAATCTTCTGAAATTTTTGGTCGCCCTTGCCTATCACCGGAATTATTCTTAGATTTGTTAATGGTACACTGTTCACACCATCCAATCCCTGTGGAAGAGTTGTAATCAATTAGTTCAAAACTCACTAACATCTAACATTATTAATTGATGATAAAAGATAGTTAAAGGCTACTCTCATGGACGGCGTTTGATATATTCATTGTAGTAAAGTTATTTCGTAGGAAAGACGTGGAGAATCAGCAGGAAGAAGAGGGGGGGGTTGTTTGGTTAACACTCTAATCGGTGGAAACACAAGTTAACATAAGCAACTAAAGGTACAGTATTAGTACTTGGACATTTTAAAATTAAAGTCAGCGTAATTTTTATGGATACAATATTTTTTCCAAGACACCTAAATGATTTTCTATCAAAAAAAAATGATGATTTTGGTATTGCAGTTGCAATGCCATGTAAAACTCAATTGCCGCTGATGGCTTTTTTATTTTCTTGAAACGTAATTTGATGTTTAGAATGAAATCAATATTTGTGTGATATTTTTGTACTTTCTATTAAGGTGTTTTAGTATTACAGTAAC